CATCCAACCACCATACCAATACCTCCCCCCCCCCCCACACACACACACAACCTTACCATTCACATGCAATATATAGTAGGACAGTATTTTGAACTATTATGCAATCACTTCTAGGTGCACTTTGCAAACACATAAACTAGTACAAAAATATTTTAAAATAAAATGAAAATAAGTTATAGTAGATGTTTTATTTTTTGTATATGATTTTTTTCTGGTTTCAAGATTGCAGCACCCTCCTTCCCAAAAGAAGTGCTTCAGGGAAAGGGGAGGGACTTCTGGTGGTAAAGGTCAGGGATTGTGGGGGGCAGGACACCTGGTCCCAGTATGGTGACTGGGGGCAGGGCAGTTGTCAAGGGGCAGGGCTACCCATGTGGCCCTCAACAGCTTACCAAAACTCTGTAAGCGGCCCTCCAGCTGACATAATTGCTCATCCCTACATTAATTAAACATGTGACCGGGGCCCCTGTGGTTGGGAGCCCTGTTAGGTGATCGGAGCTCCCAGATGGGGAGGCCTGTGTGCACCTCTGATCCTGGGAGCTCCCAGCTGACAGATCTCCCAGCCAGGGGGCACCCCGTGCTTCCCAGTGGCTGGGATACTGCAGCTCATGCAATCTCGCAGCTACGGAGGTGCTCCCTGCAACTCCGTGGCTGACACACTGCAACTGATGTCACACCATGCTTGTTTCTTGCCATTGCAGAAACTGGGCTCCCTCTGCACCAACAATAAGGTGTGATGGGATCTAATGTGCAGTCCCACAATCATGCTTCCTGCCATGCACATGTGGTATGTGAATCATTAGATCACATCACACCTTTACCTGCAGATGTAGAGGGGACCTAATACATATGCCTACACTGTACATGAAATAAGTGATTGGATAAATTGGGCACAGATAAAGCATTTGTCAAAAATAGAGTCTGTCTCTGCCCAGGGTGCAAGTGTATTTAAAGCATGCTGTGATTTTTTGCATTGAATTCTGACCTGGAACTGCTTTCAGTAGTAGTTTCCATTTTCTGTATAATAGCTGGATTTGTAGGAAAGTGACTGTAGACAGAGTCAACCAGATCGGTATACCATGACCAAATAAAAAGGGACGGGCAACAGCAGTCTATAAATTTCAGTGCTCAGAACAGAGCTAAAATGTTTTGGGAAAAAGTGGAAACTGCAAATTAGTAATGTTAATGTTAGTAATGTTTTGTCTTTAACATATGTTGTTGTTTGTGGCGCACACAGTATTTTACTATAAAAAAGTTTCATTTTTTCTGCAGCTGGATTTTAGTTTTCTCTTGGATGCAAGCTCACTTACCAGGGCAGAAGATGACCTCAACATCACAGTTAATGCTACCTGGTAATTTTTTCCTGATTAAAAAAAAATGCTGTGTTCAATAAAAAATATCCCTAGCTTTGGAAAACAGAATAGGGAGCACTACAGAGGCTTAATGAAGCACAACTGCAAGAAAGCACATTTTATTGAATAATCTATTGAGAAACTGAAACCACAACAAAAGCAGATAATTTTATAAATAATGAGATTTCTGCCAACATAAAAATGACTTCTTACTGCCACATGTGCAGTTACCAAAAAAGTTTGTTTAAAATAAATGACTAGGTGTGTTTTATGTAATTAGTTACCTCTAGAGATAACATATTGTCTATGATGCATTCTTGCAAACCTTTTTCCCTTCCATTTTGCTTTTATAGTGAAAATGAAGGGGATATGGACAGGTTGTTGGATAATGCCATAGCTTTAACTATACCACTGAAACATGAAGTTGAGCTAAATGTCCATGGGTAAGTTCATCATTATTATGTTTATCAATAAATGTAAAGGAGTGTTGTCTATGCTTTAGTAAGACTGCATAACTCACTGAACTCTTCAAACTATGAGACAAAGCATGAAAAATACAATACTACAATAGTGGAAATGAGATGGTCTGAATTAAAGTGTAGGTTCTGTTCTAAACTTTTAATCCTCAGTTTACCTGGAAAACCCTCAGAGAAGCTGTTTTAATTCAATAATATTTCTTAAGAACTGTGATTCTGTGATGGAAGAAGCTGTTAGAGAAGAACAAGACAGTAGTGCTGCATCCTCCTTTTCTCTTTCTTTTTCCTTTTTTTAAGATGAACAAAACTCTCAAATCTTCATAGAAATTTTAAGATTGAAAGGGACCTCCTGTATCATCAAAATCTAGTGCCCTTCTATCACAGAAACTGCATCATATAATTCCTTTCATTAACTAATAAAATACCATTCTAAAAGCAGAAACACATTGCCTTGACGGTTAGAAATTTTCTAATTCTTGGCATAAATTTGTTTGTAGCCAGTTTTTGTGCCAACACTGTCATCTTCTCTCTCCCTAGTGCTTTACACCTTGAGAGATTTACACACAGCAATCCTGTCCCCATTCAGCCTTTATTTTGCTAGACTACACAAGCTACAGTCTTCTAAGTATAATCTTTTAAGATAAACTATTGATCATTCTAGTAATTGTTCCTTGCCTCCATTTGTCTGGATTGAAAACACAAGAATTGTACAGAATATTGGGGGGGATTTCACTTGTATTTGATTTTTCCCTGTCTTTACTGAAATTACCTCAAGTGACATATTCTAGGATCACACTTCCCATTTTAATCATTCAATTTATCAAATTACCTTTTGGTAACCACTTAGACCAATGGTGACCAACCACTTAGACCTTCAGTCTCTGTGGGCTGGGTAAGTAGTGTGTGGCTGATGTGCAGGTTGGATCCAGCATGGGTTGACCCTGCAGCCACCCCCACACACAAGATCTGGGAAACAACCCCATATACCATCCCAGCTCTGTGCACCAAATCTGGCAATCCGGTGTGCGTGGCCAGGTATTTCCAGATTTAGGGCTCTCCACCAGTCCAGAAATTTAGCAGTGAAGGAGCAGTGGGAGTATTGTCTGGCAGTTAATGGACTGCATGACAATGTCCACAAGGTCCTGTGGGTTGGATTCAGCTGAAAAGCTGGAGGTTGAGCATCACTGACTTGAGACTTGTGTCTCTTTGTTTAGTCATTCACTACTTGGGCTAAGCACATCTTCTCTTACACTCAACTATACTGACTGCTTTGCTGTTTTAGCTTGTCTTGAGGTAGAACTGACTGCCAGTATTTACCTGTGATGATATCTTCCTTGTTCCATGTAATTAGATACTTGTAACGGAATCTGAGTTTTCCCAGTCCCATTGAAAATAATCATCACAATGTTGTCCCTTAGGAGGGATGAGAGGTATGTTTTAGGGATCTTTTCCTCTAAATACATAAAGAACATCCAGGATTGGAGATTTTAGGGCCCTGCTTCAGAATAGCAGCTTCAGGTTTTCAGATCCTCCACATGTACAGTAGGTCCTTCTTCAAATGAATCAGGGGGAAAGGTAGCTGTTGCTTCCACTGTCTCCACACCCTGTTTATCCCTTTCTGTTAGGACCTGCACTTTTTTTTCAAGAACAAAAGTTGCAAGTTTTGTATTTATCATTTCATAGAAAGGGAAACTGAGGCAGAAGTTACTTGCTGAATATTTGGCAGAGTATCGCTATCAAGGTTGGGAATAATCTGACTCCACCCCTGTTCTAAGCATAAATATGCTGGATAAGCTAATATACAACCTGGAGTTTTCTCCTACAGGCAGGGTTAAGAGACTAGGACTATGTCCAAAATGGGGTGTAGGTGTCTAGTCCCTGAAGTGGAATTCAGAACTCAGAGTAAGGTGCCTGGGCACTCTGTGCAACGAGTGGGTAAAGCAAGATGCCTCAGAATGAGATCCATAAAAACCAGCACACTAAGCAAGCAAACCGAGCTGGCTAGAGCCAGTCAGTAGGACCAAGTTGTGTCTTACCATCCTACCTTTCTCTGGGGCTCCATCACTTGACTTAATAGCTAATAAAGTAGGGGAACATTACCCCTATCTAATGTTTAAAAAATGATCGGTGTTCTTTTTAAAACTGTGGCTGAAGTGGGATAAACATACCTAAACAATTTCAGAAGCAGGGACTAGGATGCAGGTCTCTTCTTCCTTTTCAGGTGGGTGCTTTAGCTATGAGGCAAGGGAGTTATGCTCCCTCTCTGCCCAATCAATCTTGAATTCTTTTCTTCTGCTAAGTGAAACAATTTCGAGAAGAGGTTTGGACAGTACTCCAACCAGAATAGGCTACAGTCTGGTGGTTAAGACACTATCCAGGGAAGTGGGAGACATGGGTTTGAATCACCTAGGGCAGGGGAAATCATTTCAGCTAGATACTTGCATCTTGTGTAAGTACAGTAACTGCTGAATCATAAAAGGGGGATGTATCAGTTTGTCAGTTTACAGAGGAAGTGGCAGTTGCTACAGTATTTTCGCTGGAGCTCAGTCAGGCTCTGAGACTACCTACCAGATCAAGCCAATCCTTATCAGGCATAGGTATGAGCTTGCTGCTAAGGTGTTTGTCCTTGTCAAGATTGGGTACCTTCTGGTCATGCACAGAAGCAGAACTACAGAGACTGGGGAAGCTTCAGTGTGAAAAACTGAGGCACTTCCAGCAACTGAGTGGTTGTTTTCAGGATCACAGTTTTGTACTTAGGCAAAATGTAGGTACTTCAGTCCTTTTTTGGATGCAGCCCTTTTTGTTGTAAAAAATGAACCTTCACACAGAACTAAGACTGATGATGGGCAGCATTTGCCCGGTTCCCGGCATATCCTTCTTTCTTCATAAAGATGTTTCTTTCAGGATTATGCTGCTTATTCACATTCATGATACTGACTTGTTAAAACAAGGTTTGATCCTGCAAGCCCTGCAGCATGCATGTTACTGTACTTGTGGAAGTAGACCTGTTGAAGGACTACTCACTTGAGAAAAATAACACACACACTTGAATTAGGACCTTGAATGGTAAATTGACTGAATAGCTTACTAATATAAGAATTGAAATAAAAACTCCTTTAGTGAAGATTTTTCCATTGCTAAACGCAATTTCTGTTCCTTCCTTTTTATTCATAGTTTCATAGTAGGTAGGGTCAGAAGGGACCTGAGCA